ACAGTTTTTCCTCAGAACAATTATAACATAGCATGCTTTGCACTGGGGTAAAAAATAGCATAAAAGCAGCCGAGAGTGTGAGGAAACCTTAGAATCCACCCTGGTCTGTTTTATCTCCCCCTTTAGGAATGATTGATTCTTTGGTTCATTCTGGGTGCAGAATAAACATGTTCATATGGACTTCTGCTGTGCCTCTGACTGATCACGTGTCATGTAAAGGAAAGAAGAAATGCTGCAGCAGCAACTTTGGACAAACAATGTGTCTTCTCTCAAAATTTTCTTTGAGCCGCATCTGCTGCTGAACATGCAGCGGTATTTCTGACACCGCAGCAGATGGCTCCAGGTGTGCTCTTTTGTTCGGCTGTTTAGCTGATGATTTTATTTAAACTTCATCCACAGCTTAAGTTTCAGTGCTGAGAACAAAGCTGACGGTGAACCTTTAAAGGGAACCCTTTAAAGGATTTCAGCAGTGGATTTGATTGGAAGTAGTTTATAGAGAAGAGAGGAAGTTAGAATGTTAAAAAAACCTGACGCTGGAACAATGTTGAATCATCCTTGGAGTCCATGAAGGCACCACATACTATTTGAATATATGAAAATATATATACATATACTGTTTAGATATATGTATATATTTATAGTATATGTATATATATATGTATATCTGTAAACATATATGTATATACATACATATGAATATATGTGTATATATATGAATATGTGTGTATATATATATATGTTTACAGATATACATATATACTCTACATATATTTGAGTATATATATTTTTATTCAAGAATCTTTGTATCTGTGAATCCTTGAATATATATGTACACATATTTGTGTATATATTTATATATGTATTTATACATATATCTATATATGTACAATATTCATATAGATATTCATCATCATTCATGTATTTATGTATCCATATATATATAAATATATACAGAGGGACATTCCATTTTTTTCCAATTGTCCACAAATATATCCCATATAGTCCAGTGCACAAATGGTTTTCTTTCTTCTATTGTTTTTTAAAACATATATTTAAACCACTTTAGGGTGTATGGGGAATTAATTGGACTTTTGAAATTTTTTCTCTGGTGCAGGACAATCTGTTATCTTTATTTTTCTCTTTCTCTTCATCATTGTCTTCTTTCCAAGGTCAGGAGTTATTATTGTTGTTTTTCACATCCAAGATTTAGCAAATAAAAATCTAAACACTTACAATTTTAAAGTGCTGAACTTCAAAGTCATGGTATGAACGAATGGAATTGTCACCTACATATAGTGTGTGTGTGTTCTCGCAGTAACAGATGTGGTCTGAGGTTAATTCACTCCCACCTGTTAGAGTCAGACATGTTTTTTGAATGTTTCCAATTATAATCCACTCACACAATAATAATGAAACAAACTTAAAACCAAATAAACCCCTGTGACGGAGCCCAAACTGCTGAACGACCACTGCTTAAGTGAGGTAAACAAATTGGACTACAAGCAGATATTATCACAGTGACCAGACCGCAGTGTGCATTTCAAGCGTAGAATTGTGATTTAATAAAGCCAAGGGAAACGTATTTATGGTGTCGCTTTTTGGGCTCGATGCCCAATTGCTTTTTCACTGGCACTACACTACGCCTCATTTTTTATTTATTTATTTTTTCAATTGGAAAACTAGTGTTGAGGTGCCTATAAACAAAGTGCTGGTGGGGGAGGAGGGAGGGNNNGGGAGGGTCAATTGTAATGTCAGTCTACTTTATAATGGCCAGCTGGAGACAACTGTGAGTATTTTTAGGATGGATTAGGCAGCTCTGTAGCAAGCGGATGTTGGTTAATTTTCTTGTTTGTGTGAATTGGTGCTTGATGGAAGGACTACATGTACAAAGTACTGCATTGGTGCTGGTGTAAAAGTAAAGTAATTCAGGGTATAACCCCAACTCGCCAACAAAAAAACAAAAACAAACAAAAAAAACAACCAACGACAAGGGAAACCTGCTGGCTAAAATATTGGGACACAATACAAAAAAAATTGAAAATAATAATATTTAAAAAAAATAATTATTACTAAAAAGGAAGCTACGCATTGTGAATCTGGGAGGAGCCTGTGATGTGGTGAAAAAAGGTGTATTAAACCATGCAGGAGTGGCAGAGAAGTAGATGAGGGTGGTGTAAGACGAGTTATTATTACTATTAATAATTATTAAATGAGGTTCAGGCAAAGTTGAATGGATGGAAGATAGTGTCAATAGTGTCTCATATATATATATATATACGAAGTCTGAAGCTGCAGAGGTTAACTTTCTTTGTACATGTATCATATTGTCGTCCATGTGTAAACGTTAAACACCTGGATATCAACTATTCCATCTTGTCACTTTGAAGGCTAGCTTTTAGCCATCAAAGACAATATCCCAATTCCAAAATGTTGGGATGGCTGTCAAGGTTGCCTGGAGGTCACATGTTTTTTTTTTATTCAAGTTTTTTTGTTTTTTATAGTTATCGTTGAAACCAAAAAGACGTTGAAGTTGAATTAGCGCCGTCCAATAAACCTTAAATGTTCATGTTCATATACATGTTATCGTCTTTGACGTAAATACCTGCCATTCTGTGTAGTTGTCAAGTAAAAACCCAACATGTGAGTATTTGCAGTCAGAATGGAGAGAACAGTGGTGCGCTGTCTGTACTGTCTGTGGCACCTGCTAATTTGGGACAGAGTCAACTTTACTTCCTGTGATGCTTGTTTGCTGCCAAAGTCTTTGACAAGTCCACCTAAAAATAATTCTTGGTTGGGTGTAGAGAGTTTTATTTCCACCGTGTGTCAGTCATTTCATATATTCTATATTCTGTTGTTGTTGTTGTTGTTGTTGTTGTTGTTTTTGTTTTGTTTCTCTTCTCTGTTTCTTGTACTTCTGGTTTCTGCCACCTGGGCACGATAAGTTTTCTTTGAAGCGGATTATCTTAACGTTCCTGTTGGTTTAGAACGAGGAAGTACAGAAGAGAAAAGGAGGACTTATCTGAGTGGGTTTAGGAAACAGAAAGGGAAAGAATGATGACAGATGCTAATGAGAACAAACAGAGCAGTTTAACAGTTAGCTCTGAAGCTTCTACTATACAAACGTTCCAGGTTTAAATAGTACAACACTGACGTGGGCAGTCGCATCCCAGCAGTGAGCGATGCAGTTGCTAATGTGCTAACACATTGTTTCCCAAAGACTGGGTCGTGACCCTCAGGTGGGTCGCAAGAGTGTCTATTGTCTATTGACTTGGGTCGCGAAGGTTTGTGACTTTTAAAATATGGCTCCACAGAAAAAAGTTTGGGAAACATTTTCCCATAAGGCAGCATTAGCCGGTTGACGTGCACAGCCACCAGGGAAATGCAGCATTTATATAGCAGAAAAATATTTCTGGGAATTTCCTGAATGTATTTCTATACTAAATATTTGAATGGTATATGTTCATATATTAAACAAACAAATAAAATAAAATATTGTCTTCTTACCTGTCTCCTTAGCGCTGCCCTTCGGAGGAAGGTTTTTTTTTTTTTTTTTTCAAGCTCTGTCTGTGAAATCAAGTCAAACTCCATAAACATAAAAACCTAATTACGAATGAGTCCATTTGTGTTTAAAGAAAAAAATTCCATCCACTCCATGCAGTTAAGAAAACCCTGAAAAAAAGTTAAGGAACATAAAAAAGTAGGTTTGTAGGTTTTCAAAAGTGGGTCATGTCTTACTGCCAAACAGCATAATTATAAAACACAGGTGTGTGTGTGTGTGTCCGTAAACACTAATAGACACATGGGCTGAGAACATACAGTACCAGGGGATGGAGAGAACATATAACAGTGTTTTGGCCAAACATGAAGCGTAGCTGAAGTTGGCAACAAAGTCCACACTGAATATAAACTTTATATTTATACATGTATGTAAATATAAAATAATAAGTGCACTAATGAATTTCAATCAAAAGGATCTACGATGAATGAGAGGGAGGAAAGAGGTGGGGGAGTGGGATTGGGAGGGAGGGTTGCCGTGTGTTTGGTTTTTGTTGGAACCAAAGCAAAGGAAAAGAAATGAAACAATAAAAGGTACCGGGGAATAAGGAGAGGGTTTGGAGAGTTGGAGGTAACAAAAAGAATCCTCATCTTCCTCTTCCTCCTCCTACTTCTACTTCTTCCACCATCTCCACCTCACCTCTCTTACTTTATCTCCACCTTCTCATTTCTAAAATGAACCTAAAACGTCATTAAACTTGGTGCGTCCCAGTTGTATGAGCTTTTTGGACCCTGGTCGGGGCTGGCTCCCTACTTTGGTAACATCTGGTCTAACTGAAGGTTAAATGTGTTTTGTATATTTTTTTATTTATTTTTTGAACAGATACAGTGGAAACCAGTCAAGAGTGAAAACTGATTGGTCCGCTTAGTAGAACCAACCAATCAAAGCGCTGCACGTCCTGTAACGACAGTAATAAGAAAACATTTAAAAATGACAAGAAGTGTTAAAGACATATTGAGACGTTCGCAGTATTTTTAGATGATAGGATGTAAAGGCTTTAATTATATATAATAAAAACCTGTCTTCTGGAGATGCTGGGTTTGTTTTTTTCATGATCACATTTCGTGTATGAATTCCACTTCTGTGGTTGAGCCAACCTTAAAGTCATCCTCCGAGCAGCTCTAAAAATATTCACTTTTGTAAGAGATGCTCCTGTCATTTTCATGTCTCATACCATGGGAGGCAGCACAATGCGGCATGAATAAATTTTAAAAGACATTGTATACAAAGAGAGTTTATGCACGTATTGGGGATTAAAGAAAATCAGCTTGAAATCAGGACGGTGAAATCCCAAGCAGAGAAAATTCCATTTTCAGCATATCCCCTCCAACTGTCAACTGATTTTTTTTTTTTTTTTCACTCTTTTCTTTACGATTGCCTGGTTTGATTGTTAGATTAACCCCGCTCTATTTTTCCTCCTGTGTCTCTTCATTCCTCTCTGCAGGGTGTGGTTCCAGTCAGGCATCAACTTCCTGTCTGTGAAACCCAGCAACCTCGTTGCGTGGGAGATCAAACAGGAAATGGCACCGCGAAGCAGTTCGTTGGCGGTGATGTGTCAGAGGAAGGCCTCCTCCACAGCAGAAAGGTACAACTGAAGCTCAAATATCTTCTTTTTTTTTTTTTTCTTTCTTTTTTCAGCCCTCTCTGACTGCTTCCTCTTACATCTGGCAGCAAGTCTCCTCGTGTCTGTTGTACAAAGATTGTGGGTGAACCTTAAAATGTCTGAAAAGCTCTTTGATTCCTCAGCTTCATGGCTTTAAACTGTTGATGGGC